AAATGATGTGGTTTGTCCAAATTATCTTCTCTCCTTATTAAGAGATGGATTCATCTCATTTTTTTCTTGATGATTTCAAGTTGTAAAAGTTGTCCAGCTTTTCTTTAATAAAATTTTGTAGGTTAAAAAAGAAGACCACCACGACTTCCCCAAACAACAGTGCCAAGTGCCCGCACACAGACGCCGCCAGCCTCCAGGAAGGGCACGCCGCGGGGCCCAGCTGTGTGACGGCACCGCGCTGCGGACTCACCCCCCCTCCACAGGATCCAAAGCGAGGAGCAGCTCGGGAGTCAGCCGGGCGAGCGGCCAGCCCGGCCTCCCTGAGGGCTAGCGGGACCCGCGGGGAACAGGCTCACCTGAGAAAAGGAGCCCTCTGGCAAGGCAGCGGTCAGTACACTCCTGTGGGCACGTGGCGCTCCAGCTGACTTGGCGGCAAATGCCTCTACGAACACCCACACCTGAGATACCTGTAGGCCCACAGAAGATGGACTACAGGAAGGGGGCCCAAAGGAAGACGCTGCCCACCCTGCACACCCTCAAGGGCAGGGACCTGCTGTAATTCCTGTGGAGGACAAAGAGCCACAGCAGCTCACCCCACCCTGCTAGGACCCCCCAGGCACATGGCATTAAGGGGTCTGAGGCGAACAGGAGGCCACACTCAGTCCTGAGGCAGATGCAGCTCTGCCCAGGAGAGGACACAGCCGTGGTCACTGCCCTGAACCCCGAGAGGGAGATGCTCTGAGCATCACCTGCTCCAGGAGCACAGAGGCTGAGGCTGTGCTCCCCTACCCCAACCCCACAGGGCTGCTCGGAGAGCCCACAGCGCCACGGGTCTCAACAGAGATCCGGCTTTCAACCTGTTCGCGCCGTGTAAATACACTGCTGAGCTCTGCTCGGCACTCTTTTCTCTATTGTGAGCACCGTGAGCTCATCAGCAAGCAGGAGAGGACTCAGCTCAGACCACCAGAAACGCAACATGTTGTTTTAAATAAAACTGAAATGAGACTTCTGAAAAGAAGCATCTAATGGTTTCTTCTCCCCACAAGGCACCTGGGTCATGGTCAAGAGCAGGCCCAAGGCCACGACCGCAGGCTCCCTGCACATCACCCACCTGACAGCCAGGTGACACCTGGGCAAAGCAGAAGGGAAGACACAGCAAAACATCTCTCCTTCAGTGTCCTCACAGCACTCTCTTTTCTTTAAGATCTCTCTCTCTCTTTCAAGATTTTAAGGGGCGCCTGGGTGGTGCCATCAGTTAAGCGTCTGACTCTTGCTCTCGGCTCAGGTCCTGATCTCAGGATCGTTAAGACTGAGTTGCACACGCTGGGCTCCTCGTTCAGCGTGGAGTCTGCTTGACACTCTCTCCCTCACCCTCTGCCCCTCCCCCCGCTAGCACCTGCATGTGCACACTCTCAAAAAAAATTTTTTTTGAAGAATCACACTATTCACTCTAATAAATTATTTTTAAAAAAAAAAGATTTGGGGGCGCCTGGGTGGCTCAGTCGGTTAAGCGTCTGCCTTCGGCTCAGGTTGTGGTCCTGGGATGGAGCCCCGCATCGGGCTTCCTGCTCCCTGGGAAGCCTGCTTCTCCCTCTCCCACTCCCCGCTTGTGTTCCCTCTCCCGCTGTGTCTCTCTCTGAGAAATACATAAATAAAATCTTAAAAAAATTAAAAAATAAAAGATTTTAAGTAATCTCTACACCTGACAAGGGGCTCCAACTCACAACCCCAAGATAATGAGTTGCGTGTTCTACCAACTGAGCCAGCCAGGCACCCAGTCCCCAAGGTTATTTCTAAATGAATCTCAGAGCAGATTTCCCCCCAGAATCTGTGCCCTCAAATAATTTTCACTAGCTTATAATAGATGCCCTACTTGGGTAATAACGAGGAGAGCGCACATTTGCAAAACAGCTACTGACAGAGCCTACCTCAAGCAGTGACTTGCCGAGCACGCTTCCTGAGGACAGATGTGATTACGTTGAAGGCAAGGTGTGTCCTTTCGGTTCCTCATCAGGAAACATGCTCCTGGATTTCCAAAGTGTCCTGAGAACCCTCCCGGACACCCCAGGCCCTTAGGGCTCAGAGTCCTCCCATGTCCCTCCAGCTCTCCCCTCCGTACGAGATGCATTACAGTGAATCTCAACTGGCCTCCAGCAAACCTTCAACCAGAAAATCGCTGGGGTCCTAAATCCAGGTATGCACTTTGTTTTCTGTTTCTTAATTATAAACACACAGCAAGGGGTTAGTGCTGTGAGTCGGAGGCCCTTCAAGACCCAGTTACTCTGGACGACAGCACATGCAGGATGGCCTCCAGGCAAACACATTTTACACCCACACTGTGGCCAGAGCACAGAACTGTCCCCAGGCCTCACAGAAAGGCAGGGATCACGTCCCCAGCACTCACCAAGGTGGGGAGAAGGAACCCAGTTACAAACCATCCAAACCAGCCAAAGAACTTACAAGCAGTCCTGGAGGAGAAACAGAAGGGCGTGAGGGGTGAAGACACCAACATGAGCCATGGAAAAAGGACCGCTGTGGTGAGAGAGACAGACGCACCCCTGTGCTCAGGACCTCGGGGGACAGAGGGGACAAGCAGAGCTCAAGGCAGGGGAGCAGACATGGAGCTGGCTAGATGCAGCACGTGCCCACATCAAACAATCAGGAGAAAGACGCCCTTCAAGAAGATAGGCCCGAGTGTCGCCCCTGAGCTCACCAAGCACAACCCACGACATCGAACAAAGCCGTGCCCCCTCCCCAGGCTGTGCCCTGCCCAAGTGTGCCACTGCCCAGAGGAAGACGCATAGACAGCAGTGGAGAGCACGAGGAGGAGAGGTGAGGGAGCGTGACGTGAGGGCTACAGACAGGCCAGGCCACCACGACGGCAGCCCAGAGACACTGAAGGGAAGGGAGCACAGAGAGTGGACGGGGAGGATGGGCAGGGACGACGTTCAGTAAGCCCAGCAGGACCGACCACTGCAACGTGCCGCCCCCTGCCCCAACCCCACCTCATCAGTGCCAGGACCACCAACAGCACAGAGAGAGCAAAGAAATTAACTCCTTTGCTCATATAATAAAACTCCAGCTTCCACTTAACTTTAAAAAAAAAAAAAGGCCAGACGGATCAAGCACTAGGTCAGGAGCAGGACCTCATTCCCAGTGTGTGGGGAATCGCAGGTGTCCTTCCGCAGCTACAGACGCAGCATGGCGGTGCTGCTCCCCTGAAGTGCCCCCGGCCACAGCTGCACGCCTGTGAGGCCGCGGTTCTGGCAAGAGCACTGGGTGCACACAGCCAGCCAGCAGACCACCTGTGCCTGACTGAGCAGCCAGGAACCCTCATCCTGGCACCAAGCGGCGCAGGCCTGTACGCACGTCCTCCACGGCAGCAGGCTCCCAGGACGAGGCTACGGCCCTCAGGACACCACTGCGTTATGTCAATGAAACAAGCCACTGCCGACAGCCAGCCAGACTGCCACATAAATGGAGGCAAGGGGGAAAGGTGTGTGAAGTGCCAACCATGTTGGTAAGGGACCTGACTAGGCAGAGAAGGCCAGGTCCGGCAGCTAGTTCCCTGGACAACACAGAAGGAAAAGGACGACAGGCAGAAGGCCTTTAGAAATGGGCCTCACCCTGGACAGAGGTTTTGCTGATTCTTTCCCAGAGCCTCTCTCTAGCCCTGGCCCATTTTAAGCACATCACGTCTGCCCAGGAGCAAAGCCTTGGGGGCAACAGGTGCTGGGGGAGGACCTCACTCCTCTATTAAAGAGGAGCAGATGTGCCTGGGGCACGAGTAGGACAAATCTAAGAGAGGGCCCCAGGGAATGCCAGCCGCTACAGTAAACCCGCACAGCCTCCTCCCTTCACTGGGCTTCCCACCACCCTGCCCCTTCCCACCACCCTCCTTCCATCCTCCCTGAAGTCAAGTGCTAACATGACTATCTCTTGTATTTATGTAAGGACCCTGAGACTCCAACACTCACTCTGCCACCGATCAGCTAGGGAACCTTGAAAACTCTACTACCTCAGGCCCTCCTCAAAGGAGACCTAGAATCGTAAGACTAAAAACGTGGAAAACGCTACCTATTTTCTTGGGTTTTGTAGAGGGGGAAGAGAACATAACATGAAGGTATGTGCCCCTCATAGGCCTCAAGAGTTCCTGGAAGATGCAAATCAGCAGGCATTCTTCAATGTGATTTTTCCTACGGGTAGGGGACACAGATGCCCCAACCGGCCTCTGGTAAGGTAGTTCCAAGAAAAGACTCTGAGCAGAAACCCAGAACAGCAGTCCCAAGTGAAGAATGCCAGAGAGCCAGCCCCAAACATAGTTGTTTGTTTTCTGTTTTTTTTTTTTTTTAAGTGAGGTTTTAGTTTAAGGAGGTTACATGAGCCTATGCACCTGATCATAGCTTTTCCTATAAAAACCACTCAAAATATTCTCTGGCTACCGCCCCCCTCACCCCGGCTCAAGGGCAAACCTTCCTCTGCCCGGTCCCCCCACCCGGCTGTCTCTGTGGGACTCCAGCCCAAAGACTGGCTCTGCAATCCCAGCCCGAGGCCAGCCGCTCAGGCTGCAGTGTACCCAATCACAAACACTCTGAAACCCACCTATAAGCTCTGGGTGGGGCCACACTGTGTCTCCATTCCTTCCCCATGAGCTGCGGCCAGCATGCCCACGGATCCCCTGTAAGTCACTATGCCCACGAAAACGCAAAGGCACCAAGAAACATGGGGGCGGGACAGTGTGGGAGGAGGTGAGCTAGACAGTAAACTTTTCAAAAGAACGAAAATCGGTTTTTATGTTAATGGAAGTTTTAATTATAACACTAAGGTTTAAAATATGGTATTAGCAGGCCAAAATACCCTAGAGCTTTGTAAGGTTTCTTTAATCAAATCTGGGCACAACTAAACGGGCATCTTTCAGCTTGAATCTCAACTTCCATCTAACTTCATAACATCTTCTGCTATCCTGTTAGAGGGCTGAGTTTAACATAAAATACGCGTACCGTGGAACCAGATGGGTCACCTGAGCACCACGTGACATGCTGGTGGGCTCACTTGTCTCCAAGGCAGCATCTCGTCAGCCATTAGGATGCAATGTTCAGAACTCTGGTTCCCACTAACAAAAAACGAACAAGAATAAACTGTAAAGAGGCAGCCACATGTGCTGTGCTCACAGACTGCTCCTAATGGCCAATGGGCATGGGGCTGGCGGCTGGGCCAGGAAGGACTGCTGCTCCTACCGGACGAGCCCGGGAGCGCGTCGCTCTCTGTTTGAATACCAGACAGCAAAACACGCGGGGGTCCGGAGGGGCACCCTCCAACCTTGCTGCTCAGGTAGGACCCCTGGAATTGCCAGCACATCAACAGCTGGTTCTGTTGTTAGCAAGACCTCCAGTCCCTGCGCTCTTGGGGACGCAGGGCCAAGGGCCAGCCACACACCCCTCTCTACAGTAAGCACCACCTGCGCAGGGCACCCCACTCAGCATCACATCCAGGGACCCCGAGACTATGCCTTGCAAGCTCAATGTTTTAGCAAGTCAAAAGGCAATCACTTGTCCATTTTAAATAGAGGTGTTCAACTAAAAGTATAAACCATTAAAATCTACACCTCCGCTCATATAAACACTACTTTTATCATTACAACATGCTACTTCCAGAAACTATTTTGTTTTTAGAAACATAATTCAGGGGTGCACCCGGGTGGCTCAGTCAATGAAGCGTCTGCTTTCGGCTCAGGTCTTGATCCCAGGGTCCCAGGATCGAGCCCCGCATCGGGCTCCCTACTCAGCGGGGAGCCTACTTCTCCCTCTCCCTCTGCTTCTCCCCCTGCTTGTGCTCGCTCTCGCTCTCTCTCTCCCCTCCCCTTTGTCAAATGAATAAATAAAACCTTTAAAAAAAAAAAAAAAGAAAGAAAAGAAAAAGAAACATAATTCAAACTTCCTGTCTCCCAGCAATCATGAGTGTGACACGCCCATGCCAACGGGGGTCAGGGCTGAAAGACAGCTCTGACCCTCGTGTTCACACGCTAACCTGCCAAGAGCCACGTCCATCTCAGCCCTCCTCTCAAGAGGCCAGGATCCTCCACTCCACCAAGCAAGATGTTGACAAAGCAAGAATCACACCGTTACTGAAACTAGAGTTTTATGCTAAAGAAAGATTAAAAATTCACCTAATTATTTTAAAGCTTATATTTTCCTGGAGCCTTATCTCCATTAACAGGGCCACTGAATCTCGGAAGCCATCTTCAGGATGGCTGTCACCATTACCCCTTCACAGGGCGGGGCCCGAGGTCAGAAGAGCTAGGTCAGCCAGCCCAGCACACCCAGCCTGTTGTGGACCCTGTACCGCAGCCACGCCTGGAACATCTCAGGGCAGGGCCAGCCCAGGATCCATCCAAACTGGGCCCCTAAGTGATGCTCAGTCGGAGACCAGTGCACGGGATTAAATACTCACGGGACTTAAACAAGTCCATCTCTGGCTCAAATCTGATCTAAATGGCTCATATTCGACCTTAAGAAGTCAAAATATAAAATTAAAAATAATGATGTGACTAACAATGAAAAACTATTAGTCTATAAAATTATTCTATTTTTAAAATTCTGCGTTTTGGGGTGCCTGGGTGGCTCAGTTGGTTAAGCGTCTGCCTCTCGGCTCAGGTCATTATCTCAGGGTCCTGGGATGGAGCCCACGTCAGGCTCCCTGCTCAGCGGGAAACCTGCTTCTCCCTCTGCCTCTGCCCCCTACTAACACACCTGAGCCACTGGAGACCTCACATTAGTAAGAACCTTTATCTTTAGTCAATCCAAACACTATTTTTTATTTTTAAGATTTTATTTATTTATTTGACAGAAAGACACAGCGAGAGAGGGAACACAAGCAGGGGGAGTGGGAGAGGGAGAAGCAGGCTTCCCGCAGAGCAGGGAGCCCAATGCGGGGCTCGATCCCAGGACCCTGAAACCATGACCTGAGCTGAAGGCAGACGGTTCACCGACTCAGCCACCCAAGCGCCCCAATTTTTAAAAAGACTAGTATTTATGTTTCACAAAACTGATAAATGGCATGAGATACCTTGGGATATTTTTGTCATATGGTCAAAAAAGCAAGTGCTTCCTATGTTAGAAAACCTTCTAAAGATTAATGCAGCACCTATTGCTCTCAATCCCCCAGACCAACTGGGCCAACCCAAGAATCTGCCGGCAAAGAGTCACTAGTAACTTGTTTTGCAGGAAATACATTATTTTGAATCACCAAATACTTACTAAGAACCTACTTTAGGCAGCATTTTCTTTTTCCTCAGTATAGACTAAGACCAATATTACAGTTTCCAAACAAACGCAGAGCTCGGCCTCCTGGTGGGAGTGGGTGTGGCTCCCCCTCTGACCGCTCGGCGTCCTTCTCTCCTGGACCTAGTCTCTCCATGGCCGCCCCACTGCCTGAGACAACCAAGCTGAATCCATACAAACATCCTGGACAACCACGCTGGAGGGCACTTCCAGGGCACTACAAAGCCTGCCACTACCCCGCCTCATCACCAACACATCCTTCTACCCACTAACCATCCCGCAGATTAAGGGAAGACTACTGGAGGCCGACTGTCAGAGACATCTAAGATTCCTGTTCCGTCAAACCTTATCGTCACTCCCAAAGAGACCGCCAGGAAACTTCCAAGTGGCCTGACTCTGTGATGGCTGAGATAAAGGACAGCTTCTGTCAGATTAAGGACACTCAACCAAGGAAGCAGCAGGAGAGGCTGCTTTCATGTTTGCTAGGAATAACAAAACAGTGGATAATACATCTCTGGACTGTCTGCTTTGAAACACTAATGCCTGGCCAAGGTACGAAAAACTAAAATGAATCAAGAGTTTTCTCTTGTACCGTCATCAATGTACTTATCGGAGGAGATAAACTGCCGGCCAGTGCGGACACATCCCCCAAGGAGGGGACTTTGTCCTAGGGCAACAGGTGCTTGCTGAGGCCTGAGACCAGGGTCCTTAAGGAAGCAGCTGGCCCTCCTCACAAAATCTGCCAGTAATTCCCAGAAGGAAGCACACAATCAGGCAAGCTAGCAAAAGATCCCTTCCTTACCCACCAACCAAAGTCCCAGGAATCGCCCGAGTAGCTGCCCAGACACACAGGACACGGGACCAGAGCACAGCCGGGCCTCCGCTGCTTCCCCCAGAGGAGGACAATTCTCAGACCAGAAAAGCTCTTCTCTGTGTGCACAGAGCACAGAACAAAGTAGTCAGTACTGGGTCCTGGTGGTCTCCAGACTCCTCGATGATGAGCCAATCAGACAAAGAGGTTGAACAGCCTGGGACGCCGCCCACAGCTCACCACCACTGCTCTGACACACCCACATCCAACAGACGCCCAGGACGGCACCCACGACACTCAGCCAGCCCTGTCAAGCCCACGAGAGCCAACGTGGAGGTCTAGCATTATCTTCTGACCCCTTTTCACAAAGCAGTGAAAATAACAAAGCAATGAACGGCGGCAGTGCAATAAAAAATTTACCGATTCCATAGCTGAAAGTTGACGCTGATGAAGACCGTCTGTTACGTCCCCTGAGGCGCGTCCCAGAGCACGGCTGTGCACATTCTGAAACGAGAGAGCACAATTAGCTCCTGTATTTCTACCCCAGTGCTTTGTCCAATCTCAGTCTCTCCACTTGGACCAACCATTTCTTCTACACTACCTTCCTTCATTTCACTCAACTCGAGACAACAAAAAAGGTGTTGAGATCTGTGTTTGGCTGATCTGGGTTATAAAGGGAGAAAAAGGCCATGAAAGGGGCTCACACCTGATGATTTCCTTTACGGCACTTACCCAAATGGGAATTTCTGTTCTTAGTAATTTTTCCTGGAAAACAGCACCCAGAAAGGCCAGGTTAAGGAAAGAACACTTGGTGGGCCCATCAGTCTCCCTGGAGATGAGGCTTCAGGACTGAGACCTTGAAGGGTCTTTCACAGACTTTTCTTCTCACACGGAATTCAACAGAAATCTCACAATTCTTAAGCTCTCGTCAGAGTTACGCATTTTGCATCCTCTACGGATGTCCTGTCACACTAAAAAGAAGACGTAAACTCTCCCCAGTGACCCGCCTCTCTTGGCCTCTCGGTGCAGCACACACCGCCCCCCCAACCCCGTGCTCAGCCTCCTCCTGGAGCCTCCCACCTGAGCAAGTAAATCAAGTGAACACTGTGGCCTTGCCAGTAAGAAAAGGGGAGACTACAGCACAGTGTCATGAAGAAAACGGACTAACACAGTATTACCTCCTAGGAGAGCTCTGAGATCTTCAAGAGTAAAACAAGCCAGGAACAGCAACAAGAAAAAAACACCATCTGTTCACGACCCTTTTCCCACAACCCCATTAAAACATCAGTCTCTTCCATCTCCAAACACATCACAAGTATGGAGTGTGTAAGGCAGTCACACCCGTGGACAGGAGGCAGGGAGAAAGGCTCTCAAACACGGTATCCGTAGGAAGCAGGATTCCCCCAGTCCACGCTCAGGCTGCCAACCATCTCTCCTGACCTGTGCTTACAGGAGGGTGGGTGTTTGCAAAGATGGAGCAAGGTTCTTCTGTCCCTATATTCCTGTACAGGATTTTCCAAAGCTAGGACCCAAGGACTATTAAACACAACATGGAGGGCGCCTGGGTGGCTCAGTTGGTTAAGCGGCTGCCTTCGGCTCAGGTCATGATCCTGGAGTCCCGGGATCGAGTCCCGCATCGGGCTCCCTGCTCAGCAGGGAGTCTGCTTCTCCCTCTGACCTTCCTCCTTCTCATGCTCTCTGTCTCTCATTCTCTCTCAAATAAATAAAAAAAAAAACCCACACAACATGGAAAAGCAGCTTCCAATAAACAATATTTGGTTTTACTGAAAAGCAACAAGTATGTGATTAAGCTTTTCAATTTTCTTTTTTCTTTTTTTAAGATTTTATTTATTTATTTGACAAAGAGAGACACAGCGAGAGAGGGAACACAAGCAGGGGGAGTGGGAGAGGGAGAAGCAGGCTTCCCGCTGAGCAGGGAGCCCGATGTGGGGCTCGATCCCAGGACCCTGGGATCATGACCTGAGCCGAAGGCAGATACTTAACGACTGAGCCACCCAGGCGCCCCGCTTTTCAACTTTCTTATAAAGACAGTAACAGAACAATATAGAAAGCACGATGAATGTCTACCCTAGGAATACAGCAAATAATAATATCTACCATTACAACTCTGAAGAAAACTTGAGGTTTTCTTAATCCAAGGTTTCTCAAGCTCAGCAGCACTGACACTGAGGGCTACATCATCCTGTGTGTCCCGGGCACCGGAGGAGGATGCTGCGTGGCAGCCCAGACGCTGGGCCCACCAGATGCCAGCAGCACCCTCCCCCCAGGCTGGCACAACCAGAACGCCTCCAGACACTGTCCTCAGTCCCCTGAAGGGCAAAATCATCTAGGCAGAGAACCAGCGCTGTAAATCCAACTGCTATTTGACAAATAAGGAAACCAAGTTTAGTTGTCTACAGTCATGCAAGGAATTAAAGGCAAGTTGGAAGGAGAACTCAGGTCTCCCAAATCCTGGTCTAAAGGTCTTTTCATTCTAAGGGAAAACACTTTAGTAATTAACCCAGTTATTTCTGGAAGACAATACAAATTAAGAGCCTCCAAAATATTTATGCCTTTTGACAGACTAACCTCATTTCTGGGGCATACACACTGAAGAAATGTTCTAAGATATGAAAAAGCTTCATGTGGCATATACGTTCACATGGGCAGCTACCACCACCAATGCAATCATCAAGCTACATTTTCAGACAGAAACGCGCCGGACCACACCTTTTACTGTAGGTTTATGGCTACAGCAGTTCAAAGAGCACGTTCCCAGCCCAGAAATAAAGAGATGGGTGAAGACAGAGTACAGACGAAGACCATGGAGACATGAAAAGCCAGTGTCCAACACAGCTGAAGGGTTACCAGGAGAGGCAGAGGAAGCATTCAACAGATGGGGCAGCTGCCCACCCACGTCTAAGGGCAAGGCCACCCTCACAGGCAGCCTCACCAAGAATCCATCTGAAGCAATGGGAAGATATTCCCACCTATGGGACTGGCAACATGGACAAGACAATAATCACAAGTGTTGATGAAGTTTGATTCGTACAATCTGTGTAAGAAAAATGACACAGATTTTTGAGAAAAATTAGGAAATACTTTTAACATTAATGGTGGTTATCTCTGAATAGTGGAGCAGTGCAAGATTTAAAATTTATCTTTCTTGTCTCTCATATCTCACTAATGCCTATAATGAGCTGGGTACTACATCAGGGGTACAAAAAAAGCTTTTTAAAAAGCTACCAAAAAAAGAATGAAATCTCACAAAGTGCCTAGGTGGCTCAGTCAGTTAAGCGTCTGCCTTCGGCTCAGGTCATGATCATCCCAGGGTCCTGGGACCGAGTCCTGCATCGGGCTCTCTGCTCAGCAGGGGTCTCCCTCTGACCCTTCCCCCCGCTCATGCAATCTCTTGCTGTCTCTCTCTCTCAAATAAAATCTTCAAAAAAAAAAAAAAAGAAAAAGAAATCTTGCCATTTACAATGACACGGATGGAACTCGAGGGTATTATGCTAAGTGAAATATGTCAGAGAAAGACAAACACCATGCAATTTCACTCATATGTGGAATTTAAGAAACAGAACAATTGTGGGGGCGGGGGGGAGGAAACAGAGAGAGAGGCAAACCAAGAATCAGACTCTTAACTATAAAGAACGCACCGATGGTCACCAGAGGGGAGGTAGGGGAGATGGGGGACACGCAATGGGGATGAAGGAGAGCACCTGGCTGTAAGGAGCACCGGGTGATGTATGGAGTAATAAATCACTGGACTCTACACCTGAAACTAATAGTACACTGTATGTTAACTAGAATTTAAATGTAAATAAATACATAGTATTTTAGAGCCAAAAAAAAAAAAACCTTCCAAGAAATACTGTGATATTCCTGTTAAGCCGACCTCCTCTTGCTTCTGCATCACACTGGCCGGCCTTCCCTTCCCTGCCACAGGACAAGAGACAGGATCTCTACGAAGAATCAGTGACTATATCACAGAGTCCTAACTTGTAAGGACCCTGGACAGACTTTATTATTATTTTGGGGGAAAAGAGTCCAAAATTACTAATGTTTTCACCACAGTCATCCTTCTGTCTTCCAAGGTAACCCCAAGTTTTGGAAGACTTTACTTTTACAACTGTATTTAATTCACTTCAATTTTTATTAATCAAAGACCTACAGTTGCTATCCATAGTTTCTGATCAGCATAAGATGATGGATTTTTTTTAACCTATGTTGATAAAATCCAACCAATACCAACTAATCATGCTATCTTCAGTTGGCCCCATACAGCCTTCCTTCAAATTACTTTCACACTGCCCAAGGCTCCTTTATTCCCCTCTCTTTACCGCCTTTCCAGTGTCCTAAATGCCTAGGAATCCAAATTAGCAAAAGCCTGGTCTTACTGCACACAGGCCTTAGCGTGCAGGATTAAACAGCATCAGCCACCGTGTGCAGACCTGCAGTTCTCAGGAGGAGAAATCAGGCTGAACGGGAGAGGCCACCTTCAGACCAGGGCAGAGCAAGCACTCCATGTACACCAGAGTCCTGGGTGCTGGGCATCCCCAAAGAGCTGCAGGCCTGGGTGGGTTTGCGTCTCTTCCTTTCCCGCTTTGCAGAGATCAGCAGCAGCGCTCCTCCCGTGAAGGGCCGTGAGCAGACTACACGGGCGGGTCCACGGGGCCCGCGTGGCGCGATGGCCTTCCAGGCAGGTTCAAACGCATCTGCAGAGATGGCAAGGGCGTGTGTCTGGGCGGACAGGCCGTGTCCCGCAGCACTCATAGTGCAGAGTGCGAGTGCCCTCCAGGGACTAGACCAAGCTGCTTGGGACTGCCGTCTCTGCAGGCCAAACACAGCCCAACAATGTCTCCACCAAGTGTTCACAGCATTCCTAACTGCCAAAATCCGGAATCAGCCCAGATGTCCTTCACCGGGTGAAGGGCTAACGCGTGGCCCGCGTACACCACAGAAAAGCAGGCAGCAATGAGAAGGAAAGAGCTACTGACGTGGTAACAGTCTGGACGGACTGTTGGGAACCACGTGGAGCAGAGAGACACGTGCCACGGGTTACGTTCACACGGCTCCGTTTACGGGACATTCTCCTGTGACAAAACTGTACAAGGGAAGGACAGATCAGTGGTTGGCAGGCTTGGGGACAACGGTGAGAAGACAAGGCAGAAGAAGACAGGTGTGGCTACAAAGGGAGAGCCTCAGGCACCCAGACACGCAAGAACACTGCACAAGGAAAACTGGGGCGTCTCAGACCTGGGGGCTGTGTCTCTGTCAAGATCCTGGCTGTGATGTTAGACTCCAGTTTTGTAAATGTTACCAGTGAAGAAACGGGGCAAAGTGTACAAGGGAACTCTCTATATTATTTCTCACAGCATGTGAATCTACAATGATCCCAATTTTTAAAGAGTCTAGTATTGGCAATTTCATATGGTCTGACCTAATATTAACTCACTTAATTCTCACAACAACTCCCTAAGGTAGGGATCCTTATTATCCCCATTCTATAGATGAGAGGTCTGAGGCCCTGCGAGGGGTCCCACATGAAGTGGTGGGGCC